TTTTCGGATACATAATATAGCAGTGTGGATACTTAATATAGCAATGCGGATACTTTAATTAATAACGGGCGGGTACTTAAATTATTAAGTTGTTAGCAACACGGATACTTAATTAACGGGCGGATGCATAATATAACAGCGCTGATACTTTAATTAATAACGGGCGGATACTTAAATTATTAAGTAGTTAGCAGTACGGATACTTAATTAACGGGCGGATGCATAATATAGCAGCGCGGATACTTTAATTAATAACGGACGGATACTTAAACTAATAAAGTATCTGGTTAAGTTGAATTGGGGGAAAATAAGGGATTTTTGTATTTTAGTAAAAGAGTAGGGAAATATTGAGAATAGGTAAAGTAGCGTTGTGTATTTAAGTAATTTTTCCTTAAAAGTATGCGATTAAAGTTAAAAATTCGCATATAACTTTGAAAGTTTTTATTTGAAGTGTGGACTTGTGAAGGTTAAACATCAGACGTTTTTGCCTAAAATTTAGTATGACTAGTTGGGGAGTTGAAAAAAAATTCAACTTCAGATACGTTTAACTAAAATTTTGACCTTAACAAGATTTTAGATATATAATAGTTTGCAACGGTCAAGTTTAGATATTTTTATTGAAGCTATAGACTTGTCGACAAACTTCATACATATATGAGTGAAGGTGGCCTTGATGAGATCAAAATTCATACATATACGATTGAAGATGGCCTTGATGAGATCAAAATTCATACATATATGATTGAAGATGGCCTTGGCAAGGCCAAACTTTGAAATTGCAACCTTAACTATATCAAAATTCAAACATTTTTATCTGAACCTGAAATTTCACTCTCACAATATCTTCCAATAATTTTATACAACAAATCTAATACTTCATTTATTAGATTACTCAAATTTTTTATTCATAGGAAGAGTCTTAAATTTTATTTATGCAAGTATTTAAAGCACTATGAGTAATGATCTTTTTTCCAAAAAAAAAAGAAGAAGAATCAATCATATTTTCATTCTTCTTGGTGCCAACATCTACCCACAAAATCAAAAAACCATTTTTTTTCTGAAAAAATAAAAAATAAAATATAATTCTCTTAGAACTTTAATTCAACATTCAAATCTAACACCTACCATTTTACCACAAAGCAAGAACACCCCCCCCCCCCCTCTCCCCCCAAACCCACTAAACCAAAATCGATCAAAATCACATTTAATCCATACACCTTTTTTAAGATAAGTTACACATCAATAATCCAATGCATTATTAATTTCGAAAAGGACAAAATGTTGTGCACATGGCAGAAAATATCATGGAGATTGACGTAGAATTATTGCCTTACATGCAAATTTCCAACTAAACTTAGGTGGTGTTTTATGCTAATCTCGAGAAACAAATTCAAAATTTAAATTTTAATGAATTAGTCTTTAATATTTTTTGTTGTAGATCCATTATATTTAGTTTTGTAAGAAAATATATAGATACTCTTCTACACATTAGAAATATTGAATTTAGGTGAACCCAATATTATATCGCTCCATTCTGCCAATAATTTTATGCCATCTCTTAAATTATTAAAATACTTCTAAATAATTAGGTTGTTGACAAATGTTTGTATGTACACGTAGGTCTCACTTGTCTTTTTTTTATTATTATTTGATGCACAATATTTCAATACTTATGCCATACTTTGTCAGTTAGTTACTGTTGCTTGTACGAAATAGGTATTACCACGTTTTTTTATTATAATTAAATCTCAGTTTGGAGTAGTTAATTAAGCAATGGCATGAGTCATGACCATAGGTTTAATCTGTTCCACTAATCACTAATCTCATTTACTACGTCTCTTTTACCAAGAAAGTAGAGTACCCTTTAAATTACGTAAAATGTACACCGTTAATCTAATTAGTCATGTTATCATTTTCAAAAGGCCAAACACATACATAACCTTTCAAATTTGCCCTCATTTTTCATTTTGGCACTCCAACTTAGCCTTGTTCTATTTTAACCCTTAAACTCCATTTTTTCTTGTACCATTTAAACACTTATACTATTTTTTATGATTTGTTTTTATTTATGTTCTTCAATTGCAATTTCTTATTTTAAAGAAATAGATGTGTGCCTGTTTATTTTCGTAAAAAAAGTAAACATTCGCAAACGAACATAAAAGTTTTCAAACAATAATATTATTTTTTGATATTTCTCTGTATTTTTGCATGAAAATAAATTGACGGAAGTTCTTTGATTTTCTTTCTTAAACATTCAATTAAATTAAATAACACTACTTATTTATTTTTTCTTATCATCTAGGCTATCTAAATTTAACGCAAATACTCACTTTTAATTTTTAATATAAATCAATACGAATAAAAAAATCCATCTTCAAAAAGACTTGACTGACTTTGTTAATAACACTACTAAAAAAAGACTCTTGTTCATTACTAATAACACTACTAAACAATGTTAAAACTCGACTGACTTTGTTAGGTTGTCGGTGATTTTAAAGAAAGAAAATCAATACAATTTCGTCGGTTATTTTTCACACAAAAATACATAACACTCTTAAAAATAAACTATTATTTTTTAAAAAGAATTATTTTTTGTTAATTTTTAATTTTTTAATTAAAATTAACTGACACATGTCAATTTAAAATAAGAAGTTGCAATTGAAGAATATATATAAAAATAAAGAAATCATAAAAATAGTATTTTGTGTTAAAATGATACATAAAAAATGGAGTTTAAGGGTTAAAGAACAAAGCTAAGATAAAGTGTTAGAATGAAAAATGTGAACAAGTTAGAGGGGCTATATATGTGTTTGGCCTTTTCAAAAGATTTACGATTAATTTGGATATACGATATTAAAATATGATTTGAAATCAGATTTATATGAAATTGGAATTTTGTTTAGAAAGACACTCCTTCATTAAAAAAATATATTGTGTAGCTAGAATAAAAATATTTAATTATGTCAATTGACACTTTATGACTTCTACACAATTTTACTACTTTATACTGTCCATTTCTTTTAATTTTTCCTATTTCATCCTTAGATATTTGAATCTTTCATAAAATAAGTAAATGCTAATAAGGATATCATCATTTGTGTCCTAGGGCTAGAACAATGAGCTTCAGACTTAAACACTCGATAATATTTTCGATTCGTTTTTGCCTTGATGACAGAATTATCATGTACTTATATTAAATTACTAATGGAAAATAGCAAATAGTCAATAAAATAGTTAAAATACGTATAAACTAGGAGTATATATTATGTCCCAACAAAAAATGGTAGGTGAAAAATAAACAACAAGAAAAGCTCTTACCTTTGCTTGCAAATTGTTGTTAAGCTGTTTTCTCCCCTAAGGAAAGAATACGTGATTTCGACTGAATAATATAGGTTAGTCTATCAATTTTCAAAAGAGTAAGGGGAAAAATAATAATAATTAAGTTTGTTCCTTTACTAGCGATTTTATTCTTTGTTAAATTTTTGATCTAATATTATTTCTGTTGTTAAAAAAACAATCTTGTTTCTTTGATCCGTAACAAAATTTCATTCCGAGAGTACTGTAAAATAATATTTGAGTATATTTGAACCATTTTTCTTGATGAATTTAAATATATGAAATTCATTTTTTTTTTTCGAAGTTGAAGCTTTGTTGATAACAAAGAAAAATACTCTGTTACTACTACAAAAAAAAAAAAAACCCAAAACTTTAATGGATGGTCAAATTTTTTAATTAACTAAAAGAAAAACAAGTAATTCCTCCGTTTCCAAAATGAGTTGCTATATTTCGCTTCTCGCAAATTAATCTAACTATTAGATTTAAATTAGATAAAATTAACTAAATATTTTTATAATTAAAATTTAATATTTTAAACACAAAAAATATTTTAAATTATAATTTTTCTCATCTCAATTTAAATAAATATATTTTAAAATATTAATCCAAATTCATGTAATTTTATTTTCTATCGAAAAGGTGAAACACGACAAAAACAGTGGTAAACATATCAATCGTTGAAATGATTTTTTTCGTTCGAATTAATGCGACCAATGTTATGAAAAAGAATAATGTCTTTTTTACATTATTTTATTTATAGTAACAAAGGACCACACGGACGAGTCTCCGAGTAAAAGGATTATTGTCCATATGGTTAAGTGTTAACAGCTCTCAACATGGAAATAATAAATATTTTTTATTATTAATTAAAGATGTCAAATTCTAATTTTCTAAAATTAGACTTTTTTCTGACCATTTTCAAATTTATGGTCTTTTCCATTTTTTTTTACGTGACAAAAAAAGATTTTGTTATATAAAAAATAATCAATTATAAGGAGTATTTTAATTTAAAGTAAGGAACTTTTCAATGTAAAATGAAATTCAATTGAGCTTTTAATATAAGTATCAAATGTTTGTGACATCTTTAGAATATTTAAATAAATCTATTTTTTATCGTAATTATTTCATATATTTCTAAAAATTATTTTAACTTATAGTACTTTTACATAGTTTTTAAATATTTAAATTTTATTTTAAAAAACTTAAAATTTTCATGTCTTAATTCAGATCAAACTATAGAAATACAATATATTTTACGTTCATACAAGATTTGAAAAACATACTCAAATTCTATTTTAATACTATGTATTAAATACTATTTTTCTGGCTCGAACTCGTGATCGCAAAACAGAGATAGTAGTAATAAAAAACTCAATAGTGAGCATCCTCACGCATCCCTACTCGCGCAACTGTACGGTCTCGATTCACCAGTCTGATTCCTCCATTAATGGAACGGAACACAAACTCAATTCTCTTTCCGTTTCGTTCCAATTTTCAAAGTTGCCAACTTTTTCTCTCGTCTTCTACCAAAAAGCTCACTTTTTTATTCACGCACAATAAAAACTCAACTGTGTTAATCTCTCTCTGTCGCTCTGTTAATCTCACCGCCATTGCCGTATTAAAATATTCATTTGTTTCTGACTCCAGTTTGTACTGATCCTTTTCTTTTTTTTCCCTGTTTTAATGGAAAAGTTGAGGTCTTTCAAATCTCTGTCTCCAGTTCATCATCTTCATCGTGCTAACTCTCCTTCACATCCAATAGAAGAACGTCAAAATTTATTGAAAGAAACCCCAATACCCAGTGTTTCTAGTATGGGTTCTCAAGCTATGGATGGAACTGAGGGTAAAGAAGTAGTCGTCAAAGCGAATATCAGAGAAACCCCAAAAACCTATAAAGAAACAGAGCTCTCTTCTTCTTCATCTTCTTCGAAAACCCAGTTGAGTAACAATGCCAGTACAGATGAGAGTATACAGAATAAGGTATATAGAGATTCCAGTTACGATTTCTCTAACGATGCAGCAATGAAACGCATGAGGGATAACAGCAAAGATTTCGACTTCGTAACGGAATCGCCATTTTCACAGCCGTCTCCGTTATCTAGGGTGGAAGAAAGCCCCAACCACGGCGTCCTTACGCCGAGGGAAGTTCGGGTTTCTTTCAATGAGAAGCTTGCCGGTAACGGATCGATTCGCCGGCGGTCCAATTTGAGTACTGGACCGGGTTTACAAGATGAGGTTGTGCTCAGTACCAGCTCTTCATTTAGGAGAAAATCGAATCTTTTAGCTGCTACTAGAACAAAATCGAGGTTAATGGACCCACCTGAGCAAGATCAAAGGTCACAGAAGATTACTATGAAATCTGGGATTTTAGGGAGAAGTACTGAATTTGAAGATGATGACCCTTTTTCAGATGAGGATTTACCAGAAGAGTATAAGAAAATGAAGTTTAATTTATTCTCTGTTCTTCAGATGGTGAGTTTGATTTTGATAATTGCGGCTTTTGTTTGTAGTCTTACTATTAGAAAATTTAAGGGGAGGAGTATATTTGGGCTTGCATTGTGGAAATGGGAGTTAATGGTTTTAGTGTTGATTTGTGGAAGATTGGTTTCTGGATGGGGGATTAGATTGGCTGTATTCTTTATTGAGAGGAATTTCGTGTTGCGTAAAAGGGTGTTGTATTTTGTGTATGGATTGAGGAACTCAGTGCAGAATTGCATTTGGTTGAGTCTTGTTTTGATTGCTTGGCAATGTATTTTTGATAAGAAGGTTGAGAGTATTACGAATACGAAGGTATTAAGGTATGTGTCTCAGATTTGGGTGTGTCTCTTGTTGGGAACATTCATTTGGTTGCTGAAGACACTGTTGGTGAAGGTTTTGGCTACGTCGTTTCATGTTACTGCATTTTTTGATCGGATTCAAGAAGCTTTGTTTACTCAGTATGTGATTGAGACGTTGTCTGGACCGCCATTGGTTGAGATTAAGATGGAGCTGGAGGAGGAGGAGAGGGTTATTGCTGAAGTGCAGAAGCTTCAGAGTGCTGGGGCTACATTGCCTCCTGATCTCAAGGCCAGTATATTTCCAAAGAGACCGATTGGGACTCCACGGAAGTCCACTGCTGCTGCTACTCCTAGGAGTCCTGTATTTTCGAGAGCTGCTTCAAGAAAGGAAAAAGAAGAACAGGGAGGCATAACTATAGATCATCTACATAGGCTGAATCAGAAGAACATTTCAGCTTGGAATATGAAAAGGTTGATAAATATTGTTCGTAAAGGTGTGCTGTCAACTTTGGATGAGAAGCTTGAGCAGTCAAATGGCGACGATGAAGCTGCAGTTCAAATCACAAGTGAGAAACAAGCAAAAATTGCTGCCAAGAAGGTTTTTATTAATGTGGCGAAGCCTGACTCAAAGTAAGTATCGTGTTTAGGGGGACGGTTAGAAAGTGATTGATTCACGTATTAAAATCAGTATAAGTAATACCATGTTTGGTAGATTTTAGTTGCTACTTATCAAATTCAGCACACCAAGTATCGCATTTGCTTACCAATTTACACTCCCGCATAACTAATACATGAATACGTTATAAGAGAATCTATGTATTATTTTATGCATGTTAGAAGATGGAATAACTAATAAAGTACATGAATAATTAAACCCTGCATAACTAGTACATGAATAACTAGACTATGCATTACTATTACTTGCATAACTCTAACCATTAACCAAACGACCCCTTAAGATGTAAGAGTTAAGTTCCTTATTGTATCTTATTTAGCATTTTGTTTGCTGATTTAACGAGATAAATCATAGCTTAATTGTTTTGTTGATAATCTTCAAGTAGCATAAAGTGGAAGTGCAGTTTAGATGTTTGGCTAGATGTTTCCTTCTAATTTTGTTGTATGGTTTCATCAACTTGCTGCCCTTTAAGTGCTTACTTTTATGTTCATGCTTATTCCCAACAATTCCCTTTTACTTTTACCTTTTATGACCTTTCTGTGGCATCTAATTTTCGGATCTAATTGATTTACTTATTTTGTTGTTTATCGCTGCCATCAGGTTCATCTATCTGGAGGATATAATGCGTTTTATGAGAGAAGATGAAGCTTTGAAAACAATGCAGCTCTTTGAAGGTGGAACTGAAGCCAAAGGAATTAGTAAACGCGCGTTGAAAAATTGGGTGGTGGGTATATGGCCAATTTTCTTCGATATTCTCTTTCCTCATATATGCAATCCCTTCTTTTTCTTTTTCCTCCTTTTGGTGCATAATGTTTGTTGCAAATTAGTTATGGAGTTTTGAGAAGCTTATATTTCTCTTATCTCCAAATTTCAGGCCTATATGCATAGGTTATTCACTTTTACTGTTCATTTTGGAGATGTTGTGTTTCCGAATAAATTGCCTCTAGTTGAGTAGCTGTGTAAAACAAAAATGAACTAACAGTTGTGAAATTTAGCAACCGGGCAGAAAGGGGAAAGCACTATTGCTCAAAGTTAGATTGTGAAATAAAGATTAGGACATAAAGATTTCTATTTCTAGGTGATTCCTATCTTTGATCTTTATTCCTTTCAGGTGAATGCGTTTAGAGAACGGAGAGCTCTTGCTTTGTCTTTGAACGACACAAAGACTGCCGTTAACAAACTACATCACATGTTGAACGTCTTAGTAGGGGTTATCATACTGGTCGTCTGGCTTCTTATACTCAAAGTTGCCACTACACATTTCCTGGTCTTTATGAGCTCTCAGGTTCTTCTGGTCGTATTCATGTTTGGAAACACTGCCAAGACAACATTCGAGGCAATCATATTCTTATTTGTGATGCACCCATTTGATGTAGGTGATCGTGTTGAAATTGATGGAGTTCATGTAAGAAATTCTTCCACAGTTATATAGATCATTGGATAACATTCTGATTTGTATATTAAAAGACCTTTTCTGATGTTTGTATTTCAGATGATTGTAGAAGAGATGAATATATTGACTACGGTTCTCCTGAGATTTGATAACCTGAAGATCACATATCCCAACAGTGTCTTATCTACAAAGCCCATAAGTAACTATTATCGCAGTCCAGACATGGGAGATGCAATCGAATTCTGCATTCACATCTCAACTCCTATGGAAAAAATAGCATCGATGAAAGAGAAAATAACAAGGTATATACAACTATTCATCTTCCGTTAATTTTTTTTAGCTGTTTCCTTTTCGTATCTCGAGTTATAGTGGTTGACTTGCTCTTTTATGATACTCAACATAAGAATGCACTCATCTTAGTAGTCTGTCTACACACAAATCAGCTATCCTTACTCTTTTTTCGGAAATATTACTGTTGGTAAAATAGACGCAACAGAACGCCTTTTTGACTTGCCTCTCAGCTTAAGCAAGAAACTAATTACTCCGCTTTTAATTTGTTTTTCCTTTTGAGTTCGTCTAAAAAAGGAGGTCTTTCCTTTTTGCAACTCTTTAATTTCAACTTTCCACATCACATTCTTAAGCCACATGATTCAAAAGTATCTTTTAATTCCTAAAACTCCGTACCAAGTCAAAACCAGACAAACAAATTGAAACCAAGCGAGTAATATTCTTTTGTTATAATAATTCATGGTTTGGCTTCTGGACTGTCAGGTATATTCAGAACAAAAGTGATCATTGGTATCCAGATCCCTCAGTTGTGATGAGGGATGTTGAAGACTTGAACAGGATAAAGTGGTCGGTATGGATTTCACACACAATGAATTTCCAAGACATGGGAGAGAGATGGGCAAGGAGAGCTCTTTTAATTGAGGAAATGGTTAAGATATTCAGAGAGCTAGCTATCGAATATCGTATGCTCCCTCTCGATGTCAATGTTCGTAATATGCCACAGATATCATCGAGCAGAGTCCCTTCTAACTGGTCTCTTTGTGCTTAATCAATGATTGAAACGTCTACTCATCTGATAATTCTCACCAGAGACCATTGAAGAAAGGTGTGTTTGTTAATGAAAGCATTGTAAACTTGAAAATTGCCTATGATTTCAGATGGTAAAGTAGTTTTGATCAGTCAATATTTGGCGAGTTAATGTACATAATGAGCTGGTCTCTTTTTTTAGTTGAAAATTTAGGAAGTTGACAGTGAAATTCCATAGAAATTGCCACAATTATGTAGTTATGAGTATCTTAATTACTTTTTATTATCTAATCTTAAATCTTATAATTGTCCTTAGAATTGCTATCTTTTTATAGTTTTATAATTGTCACCATTAGCAATTGAACTTTTGCCTAGCATTGCATAACTTGTGGGATGTTATAATGCGGAAATAAAACAATTTATGCCCCGTGATAAATACGGGGGCAGAAATTAAAGACCAGCACAAAATAGGAGAAGTTCAAAATGATCCATTAAATGGATTGGGAATGTTGAGTGGCTCAATCTTTTGACGACAAATTGATATGGATGATGACAACGATGACGTCTTTCTGCTTTATTAAGGTCTGATGAAGGATGTGTAAAAATTAGACTGCTATACATTCCCTTGCTTCTATTAGGCAGTTTCTCTAATCACATGACTGTAAATAACAAGTATACCCTGTTTATATGACTGTTAATAATTGAATATTGATATGTCTTATCTTGGTTGGGTCTTGAATCTTGTGATTTTCATTATGGAATTTGTTTGGATAAGTGCCCTGTGCTTATTGATGTTTTGCATATACGTTTGTGCTGCTGGGTTGTATATATGTGATGAATTTATTCCATATTTTCTCGCTGAAGGATATCCTCTCTATGTTGCTTCGTTTGGACTAGGATGTCAAAATGCCAGCCACTTTTTGGCTTTTGTTTTCATGTGCTTACTAACTCTGCAAGTTTCTTTTTATTATTTACCCTATGGTTGGTTTGGGTGAATAAGGTGGTCCATAGGGGGGAAGTAACAGAGATGGTTACTTCAGTACCCCTATAAGAGTCAGAAATGAGATAAACTAGCTGCATGATTCCTAAACTAGATTGTTCCTACCCCTTTCTCCCCTTTTGGCTTTATTGAACAAACAAAACGTTTTTGTACCACTGTACTATCATGCCAGAGTTTATGTTTTTGCTGGTTCATCTTGACATTATATTCCTGTTGTGAACTTGGGAAATCGAGTAGTAACTTGGTTGGAATGAAAAGCAGCTATAGATTCAAGGGCTGTCAACCTTTTGAGCTGGAATTTATTGTTTTTCTTTAACAAGCAAGCCAGTGAGCATGACTGGCGATGCGATGTAAGCCAGTTGGTTTTGTTGGGGAATCTTTTGGATAAGCAGCTCTAGAACCTTGCTTGATTTTGGTTTTGATTGAAGGAAGTGTGTTGCTGGCACTTCATTTGAAGGTCAGATAGTGGCTTTTCCTACTTACCACTTAGGTGACTTGGTCTGAGGTTTAGGGGCTTATCTAAATGGGAACCTAGGGGTTCAAGTGAACACAGTAGCTTTTACACAAGCTTTCTATATGCATTACGATTTCACTAAATATCCATAAATATTTGAATGTGGATACAACTATTATTGTATAGTAACTTGAGGACGTCGTAGGAACCTATAAACTTAAAATCTTGAATTCGCCTCTGCAGTGAGGTTAATGGTCCTTTGCACTAAGCTCATCCTTACTGTTACCATAGGAGCAAGAGAAGCTGATTACTAGGATTGAACAACAGGTAAATCCCATAGTTGGCAGTTGCCTCTGTCTAGTCTATTAAATCCTGCTTAGTTGTGATGAAACTAGTATCGGGCCCATAAATAAAGCCCACCCAATGAATTTGGGCTAGCTGGAAAAAGTGTTCATGCATGGTAGCCCCCCTAATGTCAACTAGCGTTTGATCAGATCTTCAAATATTTTCAAGTTCTCGATAATTGACTTGGACCAACTTTGGAGACTCTACTTACAAAATTTCAAAAGTTCCAAGTAAAATGCATGTCCAAACATAACTTTGAAAACTCAAAATTTCAATTTTAAAATCTATAGTCATATCACATATGAGAACTCAAATCGAAATAATGTGTCACTTGTTACATTGCTCATAAACTTATTATTCTTTTTTCATAGTTGAACTATATTTTTATATTCTTGACCATGACACTCTTAGCTTTGAAAACATAATATATGTGTTGGAATTATATTCGAGAATCACTTTTACTTTTGCTTAAAAAAATAAGAAAGGTATCCATATCTTAAAATATTTTCATATCAAGATAAGATGAGATACAAGGCCGGTGGACCAACTTAGCCAATCAAACCAAAAACTTTGTGCTTTGTCTTAATTCTAATATTTTATTTTATTCATTTTGCTTAACCTTTTTCTTGTGCACATTTGGATAATATTGTTTCTTTAAATTCAAAACTAAAGTGAATTTTAATTAATTAGGTTAAAATCTATTGTTTTCATTTGACTAAAAATTTAGTCAACTCTGAATTATTGCCAAAATATAGAACAAATAAGATATTAATATGTGGTAGGTATTACTAAGGCTTCATGATTGCATCATCTTCTCAATCAATTTAATTTATTTTTGTATTTTTTGTAAGAAATTTATTATAATGAAATATGTTTACTCTACATTATCGCCCACGTTTATCTTCAAACATCATGACATCCGGCCCATTCCAACAATAATGCAAAATAGATGGATTGGTAAAGTAAATATACATCAAAATATTGTCGTGAAATAATAAATAAATAGTATTTCATCTTTAATTAAAAGTCTCACAATCGAATTCTGATAATGACTTGCCTTTAATATGAAATGCTTAAATGAAACTTTTCAGCAAAATCTAAATTAGTCGGACTTCAAAATGAACAGTACTGCCCAGAAAACTGCAAAAAAACATAAGAAAGATACTATAGTGCTTATTTCATGGCTTAAGAAAGAACCTATATGAATATACTTAAAAATATGAACACTTACAATTTATAAGTATAATTCTTTCCCGAGGGTCCATTAGTATCAATAAAAATTTTAAAAAAATGGCTCTTCAAACGTCAGAGGATCAACTAGTTATGGCCGTTTCATTATCCTTGTCCCTACTCTTTCTATCAATATTATTCAATGATATATGAAAATAACTAAAGATAATCGATAAGCATTATATCTCTCTCAATCTATTATGAAAAGGGCCAAGACATTAAAACCCCGTGGGCCTTACTTTGTTTTTCTCTTTATTTTTAATCAGACATTTTGCATTTTTATAACCAAAAATATACTCAAAGATTGAGAACCATGAGGTTTCAGGTTCAAATCACCATGTGATTCTTTCCATTTGTTCCAAGTTTGAAGGAAAGAGTTTGTGGGAGGTGTGCGAAAGCTGATCCGGATTGCGGGATCATTAGAAACAACAACATGCAGAAACACATACACACAATCTAAGAATAGGCATAACTACCTGTACGTTGTTGCTAATAATTAATTTGAGCCAAATGATTACGGCAAAGCACTGAATGCAAGATACATATCACTTATTATATGATTCTTTTTGTCATTTAACTATATTTAGTTTAATTGTAATTTATACATTCTCTCTTTAAATTGTATATAACTCTTTACGTTTGAAGTACTTCAATGCTTACAAGTTATAAAGCTATGGAGGAATGGGAAAAGACAGAACTCAGAGGATCTTTTCAGCTTCTATCATTCCCATATTATTATTATTATATAGAAAAAATCCAAGTAATCTCTTGTTAAATCATCCAAAATCTAGTGTGAGACGTGGCAGATATAGTAAGCTATTGTCAGCTGCCTCAAAGTCCCAGAAAAAGGAAGATGCCTTAGAATATACCATCCTCTCATCAATCGGTTTGGCTCTAACCTTAAACAGATAAGACACCCCATGCACAAATTATTAGACCAACCACTCCCTAGAAGGTAACTTATCCTTCCATCGAACCCAATAGATTTATTCCATTTCTTATGCTATATAGTTGTATTTATATCATATTAAAATTAAATATTTACTAACTATAAATTTAGATCTCAATTATTGAGATTTTTAACTCATTGTTGTATAATTCAAAATTCATAAAATCTTCTGTCTTTGGTAGCGAACAAATGGGCTATAACACAAAATGATTCATTAACTATTGAGTCAAAACGAATTAACTAGTGTAATCCAACAGTCAAAGTGCAACCCAAATCTAAACGCACAAAATAAATTTTGGAGATTGAGAAAAAGGTAAATTTGGATGAATATTAAACTAATAATTAAGAAAAATATTTTATTATTTTCAAATAAATAAGAAAAAAACATTTAAGACGGATAAAGTTATAACCCGTTATCACTTCTACCTGCTCCTATATAAACTTGCATTTTGCAAGAAAACACCCAAACCAGACAGAATGAAAGCAATTCTCAACTACCCCATAGGCCCCATACTCTTTTTTAAAAATAGGAACCTGTAGTACAAAAAACTGTTTTCTATCAACTTTTTTTGCCTAAGTGGTCTGAAAAAAGAACACCATGAATTCTCAAGCTTCTTTGATGACCATCTCCCTACCAGAACAAGAAAAACTCATACACAAACTCCAAATCTTCAAGATTCAAGGTAAAGATAAACGTGGATGCTCCATCCTTTGCGTCATCGGCAAACTTTTCCCTGGTTAGTTAATTCTTTGCTTTTTCTATGTGTATGTGTTTCTGCCCGGCTAAATCAACCCAAAAATACTCTTTTAACATGATGTGATACTGTGTATTTTGGGAAAATCCGCACGTTTTTCACCAAAAAATGGACATTTATCACACCATTAAGAGTATTGCTACTTTGTTCTCACATCTATCATATCTCTCTTTGTTATTCTAATTCTGATCTTTTTAATTGTACTGGTTAATTTATCAGCAAGGATTGTAAGTGTGGAGGCAGTGAACAAGTATCTACAAGAGAAGATATATCCAAGTTTAGAGCAGAGACAGTTCTCAATAGTGTACCTGCATACAGGGGTTAACAGAGCTGAGAATTTCCCCGGAATAGCTGCTCTCCGGTCGATCTGTGATGCTATGCCGGAAAACGTGAAGAATCATCTGAATGCTGTTTATTTCCTTCATCCAAGCCTACAGTCTCGACTCTTCCTTGCGCTTTTCGGCCGGCTCATCTTCACCGGAGGGTAATTCACTTTTCATAAGTCACTATTCATTTCACTTTCTTACAAAAATCATAGATTTACGGTCAAGATTCTGGTGGTACCAAACTTCCAACTGCCCATTTTCCAGCACTAATCACGGCTATCATCTTGATCCACATGTCTAATTGAACAACTTTTAGAGTAGTAATGAAGAGTTTCACCTACTGCCATAAAAGTAGTATAATACATACAACGGTCTTTGAAGACCTGCCAACTTAAAATACTGAATTGGAGAAATCCCCTTTTATTCTTAAAGGAATACCCCATACTAGATAATAGAAGGTTCTGAAACTAGCAGACTATACAAATCGGACCAATTAGTATTACTGCAGTATTGTTTGATTTAGCTGACTTTAAGAGCAATCACTTAATTGCAGGGTGTATTGGAAGATGAATTATGTGACCAGGCTAGAGTTCTTGTGGGAACACGTAAAGAGAAAGGAGATAGAAATACCCGAGTTCGTGTATGATCACGAAGAGGAGCTGGATGACTACCGTCCGATGATGGACTATGGAATGGAGGGAGATCATCCAAGGGTTTATATTGATTCTACTGTTGAACCTGCAATTTCTATGTACTCAATGAGGTGTATTGCTTAGTTAAAAATGAGGAAGAACTGTTTTAAGGTGGGTCTTAGATGGGCTGAACTGATAATGTTTGCCGGCCTCTTAGGCTACTATGTTTTATCTTCAAGCATTACTAGTTTTACTGTTAGAAAAGCTGCAAAATGCTTAGTGGTTATATGTCGCATTCCCAATTCTAGGTTTTGTTTAGACTGTAAAACGAAAAACCAAATGAGCATCAATAGATTTTTTTTTTTTTCTTTCGACGAAACAGCAAGAGATTTAATATTCCGGCTTGTAGCTGAACTCAACAACTCTTTCTATCATTTCCAATGGACAAAGTGTTGTTTCCTCATTTCTTCTCTAAAACCAGCAATATATTTTTAAGAAGCAGATGTTAGGAAGTGGTTATGCATATACTGAACATTGGAGGCTTAGCTAAGTGGTTATGCATATACTGAACACGAAAAGGCATCCCTTTAGGATCATTTGGATTCCAGGAGACATGAGAATAAAATTGAAGCACAAGGCAGTCAGAGGCAGATGTCGCATGTTTGCTACAAGTTCAAGCGAACCCAACATTTTGGACACATAGAGTATATCTATATGCAAGAATTACTAAAATTTCAATAAAGATTAAATTCAGAACCAAATACCAAAAGGGAAATAGGTTCAATTGCAAGATCTTAAAAAGAATCCTCAACTGGAAACGCACGACTTCTATAATGTCTTTGGTCAATCCATTTGGTTAAAGTCAATTGGCATCGTACTGATACCCACTTGGCCGCTCCCAAATAAACACAGACAAGTTCTAGGCTATCTCCAATTCCATCAGTTTTCTCCAGTGACTGTCTTAAATTGCGGAGAAATATTCTTATCAATGTAACTATGATGTAGTAACATTTTTAATCTACAACCTTGCCAATACAATCATTCTATTTTTCCAAAATTCCAAACATTTCACAAGTTAGTTAAAATAAGTCACCCATAGGCTATACAGACTTAGCTTCTGGTTAGTTTACTCATCTGAATGATACTCTTTCTGGTTAGTTTACTCATCTGAATGATACTCTTTCTGGTTAGTTTACACATCTGTATGATATTACAAGAGTAGACCTCCAGGCCCTGAATCCTAGCTAATGTTCCGTTCCAGCTAATTAGTTGTTCACAATAAAAGTGAAGGTATTTACAGAAACACAAAGCAGATGCAGTAAGATCATGCAATTACATAGGAACGTTGCAGGCAAAAATATATATGTTGATACAGGTTTATTTACAACACATGAATATTTGATTAATAGGAATGTTGCGGTCACCCAGATAGCATCAAGAAAATGTAGGTACATGTTTACTTACAGCACACCACTAATTGATAATTTGCATCTCATGTACAAATTAATTCCATCCATCAAATTGAACTCTGGCCAGAAAAACATATTCACAAACCACCTCAATGGAGGAATCCACCCAAGATCCACTGCAAGTCTGCAACAAGATAGCAGCATGATTCAAAAGGTATTATACACTGTAAGCAGAGATCAAAATAGAGGATGGATGAACAGGTCTATTAAAAAGTTCCTTCTTTTACCTATTTTCCTAAATCAACTTTTCCCCATCCAAACCGTAAAAGAACAAAGAATTTAAGAAACATATGCATTTATGCAAATTTCAAAATGACATGTTCATGGTAGAGCTAGAGATTTCCATTAAGTTTGCCCAGTTGTTGGAGGGAAAAATTGGAAATCACATGAATTGCCTAATCAAAGAAAAACAGACAGATGAAACATCAGATAACAGTTACCCAAGAAGTTGGAATAACTCAATATCAAAGCCCTTTTGACATGTAAATTAACTTAATTCAGATAGATGAGTATCAGGACCCACAATTACAACTGAATAAAATGATAACTGCTCAGTTCTTTATGCATAATATAAACTTAAATTTTTCTAATAGGACTATTGCAACTGGTATTACTTCATCTTAACAGAAGACTCTCTATATCTAGCATATTCACAACATCAACACAAGCTAATATTCTAGGCCGAAGGAAGCAATTTATTTGCCATGAAACAGTCAAAATGTATTGTTTCATTGGGGAATAACTAACGCTCATCGATGTGTTGTCCCTAAAGTCTCTCCTGACTGCAATCTTATTATTGGCACTATAGGGTCTTTCAGTTGTATTGGAGGTACAAATATCTCCATACAAGTTTTAAAGAGTAAGCTGTGCGCAGTCTATTTACACTTAAATTGAATTGTGCTTCATCTATAACTTCAAATATCTTATAATCGATCCAATCAAGCTTCTGGTGAAATTCAAGAAGTTGACTGTTAATCTCTCTAGAGTTGTCAAGAGAGTAGTACAATATATTACATCAGTGACCAGACTAGAAATACAGTTCACAAAGTAAAACAACCCAACATACACAAAAAAGGATAGGCAGACTTACATTGTCAACATGGATTTGGAGTGAACCAAATTGGAGGAGGCCAACGAAGCACAGAATGTGAATTGCGAGGACAGCAGGACAACGCTTCAATACTACCATCCGCTAAATTGTAATACCCTAAATCATGATTTCCATCGACACCATCATAGTTAGCCTCACAATAATCATCAGTAAAGTAAATCCTGTTTCCTTCACATCCAGGAAAATCAGAAGCCGACAATGCCAACGAAGAATTTTCTCCTAAAAACAACATTGTCTCACCCAAACTGTTAATCTCCTCCCACTCACACCTTGGTCTTTCTAAAACCAACCTAAAGACACAAAATTCAACTGTCTTATACACCACATCAAGCTGATGATACGCGGCGTCAATATCAAGCTCCAAAAATCTAGTCACCAGTAAAAACTCATCATTTGTTTTGACCAAATACTGCATATCACCACCATTTTGCTTAGGAGTTTCAATAAACGAAACACTAGGTGTGTCACCACTAACATCACAAACTGCAATTTCTCCAGATTTATGAACAGCATAGAACAATCCTTCAAAATAGATAACATCCTCATCGTAAAACCGCGCATCATCGATAAATTTCCATGAATGTTCTCCATTTTTGCAGTAAGCAAGCTCACCTGTTTCATTAAGGATCACCATCGTAATAAAATTCAGATCACGTGAAGGACTACTAGAAATGACAGCCTTCCTAATAAACGAATCACGCATTTCTTTCAAATTACGAGCGTAAACCTCGCCATGAGGAGATCGGAGGGTAAATTCCCGACCGACGCTATAAAAATTGAAATTCACCACATTAGGAAATTGAGAAACCGGTGGAAGATTAAAAGTTACTTTTGTAAGTGGATTAATAACGAAAATTGACGGCGATTCGTCGACGATGATGAGCCAGCCATGGGAAGAGCCGCATCGTCGGCGGCTGTTTGAAGCCTCAGGAAGATTGAGGAAGTGAACCTTGTTGTCAACGAAGTTGAAAAAACCACGCCGGTTTGACTGGTTTTTTGGGAGCATTAACCATGGGAGTTGACATGGTAGGTTTTTGGGAGTCGCCGGCGTTGAGGAACGCCAGCTGGGACAAACTGCCCGGAAATGGAGGTAGTCACGGAGGTCAATTAACTTATTCACGATCGTGTCCAGAAGCTCCGGTGGAAGTTCCGACCAGTCATTGTCAACCGACATGGTTTTAGATAATACCATTGAAATATATTAGTGATAAATGCCCCCCAAAAAAAGAGAGAGACTTGATATATTAACGCTTTAATGAATATATTATCTAGCGAATATATATGATGTACGCATAAAAATGTATATATTAGCTTAGGAATATAAATATTTTTGGTTCAATGTCAACTTAATTAGACAATTGTTACTATTATTTTATTATTAATTAGACAAAACAAAACAAATTTGTAATCAAGTGATGAACCTTTGATTTTTCATTCAAAATTATCAAACATTATCTGCTTGAGGCATTTCATTAATTAAAATCGAAGAGATTTACTCCAAAAGTTCCACGCAGCTTCATTTATACAATGGCATGGGAGGATAGGGAACTTACATCTTACCCCTACCTGTTCGAAAGGCTGTTTTTAGAGATCCCAATTCGAATATCACATTATCAAAGTAGGTATGAAAAAGGTAAATAACAGTGAAGAAAACAAAACAACTAATAGGGAAATATTAACCATCACATAGCAACACAGAGGAACATACAACTATATAAAGTTTGAACAACCATTGCTAATAGCTACTTCAAAAGTTTAGCTTGCCATGTCAAATTATCAATGTTTAAATAAGAACATGTAATTTGCCAAATTACAGTTTGTTCACTTCAGCAAACACTAAAGCGTATTGCTTCACTTTGACCATAACATTTGAAGCACTATAACAAAATTAACAAAGTTTCAAGATTTAAATTTTGACATATCCTAGAAGGATCAAGAGCTTTCTCTGTCTTTGCTCCATGGAGTTCCCTTGAAAGAATAGAACACCATATATGATAGAAGTAAAAAGTTTACATGATATTGGTGCACGAGATGCACAGAGTTGTTTGATAGAGCATAGCCTATGAGTTGACCAAATCAGCATCGTGCCCTGCCTCACCATTCTTTGCATCGGTGCTCTCACCATTGTTGAGAGCAACTAAATCAGCCTCAACAACAGTTTTAACAACTTCTGAACCATCACCAGCAGAATTAACATTACCAGTGCTCTCACCATTGTTGACAGCAACTAAACCAGCCTCAACAACAGTTTTAACAACTTCTGTACCAGCACCAGCAGAATTAACGCTATCGGTGCTCTCACCATTGTTGACAGCACCTAAACCAGCCTCAACAACAGTTTCAATAACATCTGGACCAGCACCAGCAGAATTAACATTATCAGTGCTCTCACCATTGTTGACAGCACCTAAACCAGCCTCAACAGCAGTTTCAACAACTTCCGGACCACCACCAGCAGGTTTAACAATATCCACAGCACGCAGATCAGGGTAATTACGATGGTTCAGGGAATGCAGCCACACAGCCATTGTCCCTTCTTTTTGTTCTGTCGATGCAATATGACTATAGATATACTTCATTTTGAATTCTTCTGCCTCCTCTAAATAAGCTTTCAGAGACACTTCTTCATGAGTGTCCTTCCACTTACTGTTATATGAGGTGAAAAAACATTCGTCCAAATACAAACCAACCTCAGGCGCCATGGGAACATTGATGTTGACATCCCTGATATGATCAAATTGTATCAGATTAAACCATGCTTACCTACTCAAAACTTAAAAACAGAATAACTAACAAAGAGTAACACATACCTTCGGAAGGCAGTTACAATTAACGATTCAGGAGCACAATTTCTCATGATAGCTACAGCAAGACCAATCATTTTACGGATTTGATGAAGCATGAAGCTCTGACCAACAACCTCACACTTCACAAAATCAATGCCATCAACATTAACTACAGTATTTGCATTAAAGGAAATGATATATCGCTTGGCAGCAGGGTCATCAGCTTTTGTTCTAGTTGTGAAATTGTGAAAATTATGAGTTCCTTCATAGTACTTCAAAATTCTGTTAAATCTCTCTTTTTCTTTCTCTCCATAGCAAAACACACTCTCTTCCACCTGTTCTTCCATTTTAGCATTTTCATTGCTTCCTTCAACTTCATCATTCCTTTCTTCAACCCTCTCACTCAAAGAAGCTTCATTTTCAATTACCATATTTGTATCAGTAGTCGGATCATTTGCATTAACTACTGGTGCATCAACAATAATAACTGACCGAGTTATTGGATCGAAAACACGTCTACCCATTACTCCAACGACTTTACGACCCCTTTCTGGACAATTTAAACACTTAACAAGCTCTTTTTCAGATCCTAAACTAGCTAACACGCTTTCTCTATCACGATGTGCATATGGATCAAGAGCAAAAACAGGAACCAAATACACATACCTACGCTTATCACAAAACTTCTTAGCACTAAACGCATTCGTTACACGTTTAAACCCAAAGATCCGGATTTGAGGAACGAGAATGGAGTTAAGCCGATCAATAAAACCAGGCGGATCGACGTAAAACCGACCCGAAACAACTTGACCGACGGCGCTAACGCCCTTATCAGTACGAGCAGAACGAGCCCACTCGTACTTTCTGGGTTGACATTTATCATGGTCAGGCACACCACCTGCTTGATAAAGTGCTTCTTCTAAATCTCCTTCGATTGTTTTTGCTCCAGGATTCTTCTGCATACCCTGATATCCTACTCCACAGTAAGCAAAGAATATTGCTACTTTCCGGCGCTTGTATCTAGGTTTCCTCTCCGGAGCAGAACCATCTCCGGCACCAGCACCGGCGCCGGCGGCGTATTCTTCGTCGTCGGAAGTAGTGGTGGTGGACATTTTCAGCTTTTTGGGTTGTGGTTCTTCGGTAATTGATGAAGGAACTGGTTCTTTCTCCATGTTTGATTTCAATAATCAGAGGGAAATGGAAATTTGGGAATGAAAGAGATGGTGGCCATTACAGAGCAATTTGTTGATTGGGGATTTTATCAAACCCTAATAAAACCCTAGAACCAACTGCCCGGCGCCACGATGGATCTGAAAATGGTATGCTGCTCCTGATTGTACCATTTGAATGGACTATAGTACTTGGAGGATTTTGGAAATTAAAAAAAAAAGGGGATGATGCTAGACATTTTGGACATACAAAAAAATGAAAAATGATATTTAAATCTTTTAAAAAGAAATGATATTTTAAACAAACTTTAGAAAAAATCATATTTGAAAGTCAAAGTTATCTTTTCTATATATGAATTTAATTTGCAAAAAGACTAGAAGTAGCGAATAAAAATTCACTTTAAAAAATTGATCAAAATCACTTTTTCAAATTTAAAATTTTTATCTATAAAACAAGTTACAATTTGATCAAGTAGTATCATGATTCAACCGACATAGACGAAATTACATTAAAATTGGGGAGGAGGATTGAGATTAGTTAAATATAATTGAGCATGATGGTGGTTTATAACTATAACAAAAAGTGAAATGATCAATAATTTAGGGTGTTGATTTGAAGAATATATATGAGCCAAAAAAATAAATCAAAGATATTTTTAGATTAATAGATGGATGCGGGGGGGTGTTTAGGAAAGGGTGTCACGTGACATTGCTTTGTCCGAAAAAAATTGCTAAATAGGTATATGAAACAAAAGCAAACTTAAAGGGTATTTATATTGTAAGTGACACAGCTTGAACAAAAGAAGTGCATAGCATAGTTGGTTTTCTGCTGAGATTCCTTAGGCTAGGTCGCCTGTTCTATCCTCCTTAGCCTCATTTTTTATGTTTTTTTTTCTTTGACCTTCTTTGTTTAGTAATTATTCAGTATTTTGTTTGTATAAACAAATATTTAGTATAATATTCTCAAGGAGATTAATTTGAATACATTTCATAAAAAAAAAAAAACTCATCGATAAAAATTATAATGTGTTTTTTTTTTTAACAAAAAGATATATGGTTTATATTATTTTATTTATTTTCTCATTTTAAAAGGTGACTTTTATGTTTTTTTTTCTTTGACCTTCCTTGTTTAGTAATTATTTGGTATTTTGTTTATATAAACAAATTTTAGTATAATATTTTCAAGGAGATAAATTTGAATATATTTCATTAAAAAAAACTCATCGAAAAAAATTATCATGTGTTTTTTATTTTCTCGTTTTAAAAGGTGACACTGCTTACGAAAAATTCTGCGTACGCTACTGGATGGATGAAGATTATTTGTGAACCATTTTCTATATGTTGAGATATTTATATTCCTACAACTATCTTTTGAGATTTTTCTACTCAAAAACAATATAATTACGAACAATTTAAAATAAAGATGCGTTAAAATAGATGAAAAATTCAAAAGAAAAGGAGGAAAATATAAATAACTTCTCTCCGAGCACGGGGTCAAGGCCTAGGCGTCGAGCCAAAGAGCTTAACCGTGCTTTAATAGTTTGATTAATAAACTATATTTTTTTAAAAAGAAAATTATTAGAGTACATACATATTTTAGTGTAGTTAAATGGGAATTAAATCTCATTGTCCTTTTACATATTGAATATAAAACAGAGATAGATATCTTAGATGAAAATCAAACAAACTTTATGTAGAACATTACCTAAAACATTGATCACGAAAAAGAGAAGAAAATAATTTTAAAAAAGAAGAAGCAAGGAGACCTAATTAAGCTACTATTGGGAGGAGGGTCTTTATATAAGTTCCAAAAGGACGTAACTTGATCATTTGTGGGAGTAGAACATGGTTGAGGGTTTTATGATGTAAATCATAAAGAAATAAATGTCTATCAGACTTTATGTAAAATACAAATAGACCGTCTTGGATGTAGAGAGGTTTCATGGACCAATGCAGATATTTGGGGTTACGGCCTGGACCATAAGGAAGTAGATTGATGTTATATGTTTTGTTCCATGCCCACTTTTTATAGTCATCCAAGACCCATATATCTAGTGCTAGTGCAGGCTGAGAGGCAAGCAAGTGACAGAAACACAAATTGTTTTCCATGACTAAGAGAGTCATCATGAATTTATGCTCATTGTCAAGGTGGGAGACGTTGCAAACAATTCCAGGATGAGGTTTAGCATAGATTTGTTCCTTATCCATTTTAAAAATGATGATACCATTATTCTCTTGTGTTATGGGGTT